CCCGCATTTATACGCTGGGGCCCCCCCCCCCCCCCAACAAACAAACAAAGGCTAGTCCATTGGCTGATTGTGAGGATAAAATAAGTTAAAACTTGGAAAACATTTTCAGTAATACTTGGTACATAATAAATACTTTCTCTTAGAAATATTAGGACATTTGGAGAAGGGATACGGAGGTAGAACATTGACGGGATGGGGAAGTATGGTGTTAACGGTTGAAGATATTTTGATCAACGGGACTGGGGAGAAATGTTCACATATTGAAATGCTCACATTGTAAGCTAAACAATGTGATTGAATGTATATACAAAAATAAATTAATTAAATTAAATAAAAAAAGAAATATTAGTAATCATCCTTATAAACCTATACTTGTTTTGAAAGTATTTTAGTGAAATAGTAAGTTAAAACACTTTCGATGCTGCATTGCAAGAAACTGAAATATTTGCAGTGAGACACATATGTATTTTTTGTGTAATGGTACACTCACAATTAAATTTCTGCTTTGAAGATAGGATTTTAGATTAAGAAACAGTTACAATTCTAAATAAAGAATAGAATATATGTATTTTTTTCAGTGAATGTGTGCATACATTTATATATGTATATATATTTAGATAATATATAGCTAAATGATTAAGAAAATATGTTTTTACTTATTAGTTGTAATTCCTTAGTGCCAACCTAAAATGAAGGCTGAGTCATCACAAGCGAAATAAAAATGGTTTATCTGAGCCAGGACTTAGTACAAATTGCCTGGATGGACTAAATGCTAGCTTCCTACACACACGCTCATTGGAATGGTGATGGAGAGAGTTGGTGTATATAAATATATAAAAAAAAAAAAGGCCTGAAGCCGAGAGAATACAAGTTGTTTATCAAGAGTATACATCTACTTATTTAAAATAATGCAGGCAGCTGACTCACTCTACCTTACTTATATGCATCAGGAATTCAAGAACACTGGGAAGAAGAAAGGGTGGGAGTCACACTGTGAAATCTGTAATGTTTTTGTAGCTTCACAGCTTGTTTATTGTGAACTAAGACCTGCTTGTTAGGGCAGTAACCCTGATGGCTATGGGGCATAGTCTCAGGCTATGTTTTTCTGAGGCCTTTAATATCTAAATAGACTTTGTCGCAGATGCTCTGGACTGCTTTTCTTTCACAATGGTCTGTATTATATGAGTAACTTCATGTACTATTATTTTTTCTTTTACTTTTTATATTGTACCTTTTAGGAACTGTTAAGAAAAAAAAAAACTTTTGTTTAGTCCCCCCCGCCCCATATGATGTGTATGTTCTCTGGAGGAGAGAGAGAGAGAGAGAGAGAGGGAAAGTGAGAACCTCCCTCCTCCTCTCCTGAGGAATAACCATGCCACAATCCCCTTTCCATTCTTCTTTTGGCATTTTAGGCATGCTTGCACATGTACTTGGCTTGTTCTTCAAGCCACTGGGTCTTGGACTTGAACTGCTTAGTTGGCCATATGAAATCTAGCTGCCCAAACCAC